TGTTGCTCATTGAAAATTCACCATGTAGTGTTGTACGTGAGGATTGTAGTTTCCTGCTACAGAAAATCCATGAGATAATGTACAAATTATGTTGGGGCAAGCATTTTAACTAAAATCGAACATCCCAAACTGAAATTAGAGGTGCTAGTCCAGTTCAAACAATATATAGAGAGGAACCGCAATTGAAAATCGACCGAATCTTGAACGGTTCTTGATCTTAAATAGAAACCGTGAGTACCAAATTTTAGGACCAATTTATCCTTTTTTATAAGGTTTTTTGTTTTTAACAATTTATCTTCTCTAACCCAATGACTTGACTTAACAAGTAACAAATTTACAAGGCCTAATGAGTATTAAATTTCTAAGGTCCAAATAGTAAGTATTCTACTCAATAAAATCCATTCATTTGAATAATTAAATCATAACACAATCGTTCGTAATCATTTTGTTTGAACTTTATGCGCCCACAAACTTCTTGAGCCATTGCAGAACCACAACAAGAATTTGATGCTATTATGCTAATGTTGGATGCTATTTGGTGACACATTTGTAGTGAATTAAGAAAATGTTGAAATATATATTTTGTGATATGTTTTATTTCTTTTATTTTTACTAGATATTTGAAAAAAATAATTTCTATCGTCAACTTAATTTCTTTTTTTTTTTAAATATGAATAGAATCGAACTCGAATCATTAACCTGCTATTCAACTTCGATTCCAGTAATTATGCAAGTGTTTCTATATTTCACTGAAGTTCAGAATCCTTTGCATTTTGCAACATGATAAAAGTTGCTTCTATTAGAAGCTAGCGAGTGTTTCCCCTTCTCTTCATTTTTTTGTTTTTTATTCATTTTCAATGTACCAAAAAAAGTAGATAGAAAATGTGTTAAAGGACTAAAAAAGTCTATTGAAGGTTGGGGACAAAAAGTACATTAATATTAAACATTGGGGACTATTGTGCAATTTCCCCTAAAATTTTGTTGAAGGATAAATTTGTAAATTCAAAATTGTTAACTTACTAAAAGGTCAGTCCTGAATTCCCCCACCCTCTCTCTCTCTCTCT